GGGTGTAGGGCAGTTAAGAATATCTTCTGCTTAGCTCCCGGTTTGGCTCTGAACACATGCGCTCATAAGGCTATGTGTCAACCCTCGCATGACCTCCCTGCATTGCAAAGATAATCATGGAACCACAATAAGGGTAACTACACAACGAAACCAAGATAACGGCTTTAAGTTGGGACCCAATTGCAAAGAAAAATGTTCACAACTACAAAAACACCAATACAGTCTGGCGTTAATACACCAGCCAGCACCGAAAGTGCAAAGGAGTCACGGATAGTCAGTCCCAGCCAAAACCCCTTCATGAGGGCGCCGAGACTAACACACTCACCTGTGCTATCACAAGAGAGGCAAAATAACGAGAGAGCTCGCTCATCCCCTCCGGAGCTTAATGGGAACAGTGTTCCAAAAGTGAAAAGGGAAGCGTTCATTAAACTCGGGGACAAAATATCCGAGCTAAATGAGATGATGGGTGGAGGAAGAAGGTCCATCCACCAAGCAATGCGTGATCTTGTTGCAATGATATCATCGCTCTATAAAAGAACTGCCGAAGAGACACCAAATAAAACTATCACCGCTAAAACCAACGATAGAGGTACCCAAACAATTCAGCCGCAGCAAACACCAGTTATATCCAAACGGTTAAGAGAAGAAATCGAAAAAAGTAGGAAGACACCGCCTAAGAAGACGAAAACAAATCGACCCGTGGGGGCAAATAATACTAAGTCTAAGGAGCCAAGGAAAGCATTGGAAAGCAACTTAGATACGGTGGCCGGGACGAACGGCAACGCTGATGTACCTCAAGCACCAATTGAAGACAACAACAAACGACACGCTTGGGTTTTACAAACAAAAAAACGCGTGAAACTACCTCGACCGGATGTAGTGATCATTAAACCGTCTTAGAAACTTTCCTTTGCGGACATACTCCGGAAAGTAAAAGGAGCTCCAGAGCTTAAAGCAGTCGGTAATGATGTTCACTCTATCAGGAAAACACAAAAAGGGGAACTTCTGCTTGAATTCAAAAGATCAGCAGAAACAATAACAAGTGTCCACCAAGACCACATCAAGAGTATACTACCTGAGGAAATAGAGGTCAAAACGCTAACGGAAGAAGCTACCTTTGAACTACGATACCTGGACGAAATAACGACAGAAGAAGAAATAATTGATGCATGAAAAAACCAAATAGGCGAAATACATCCCTCGGCGATCAAAACAATAAGAAATGCCACAGCAGCACAGGACTGGTTGACGCAGCAACAGTCAACAATCAACAGTCAGCGGTTAAGTTTCAGCATTCAGCATTCGAAGAACATTTTTAAGCACATTTGGCAAGAACTACAAATCATCAATGACAACTCTTAATGAACTCATAGATGCCCAAAAAGAAAAGGGCGAAGAGATTCAGCGAATCATCAGGAACTTCAAAAAGGATTCGGCTGAACGCAAGCAAACGTCAGCATACTACGGTGAAAGATTTCGTCGGCTTGATGTTGCTTGGAAGCAGTTTGAACAAACTGACACAATGCTCAGAACTCTCATCGATCAACCGACAGATGATGAAATATTTTACATCTTCCTATTACGAGAAAATAAGAGAACTAACAAATGAATACAGTGAAACATTCCAGACAGAAGCCCTTCGGATCAAAGCAGCAGACAACTTTGGTGAAGCTGCTAGTAACCAAAAGGCTTCACAGCCGCTACTAGTGGCTACGACAAATGGTTTGATAAGAAAAATATCTGCTCGAATGGCAGCTCTAAAAAGATTAGTAGAGAGTTTGTCAGAGAGCGAAGGCATTCAACCACTTCAATATTACGAAACTAAATCAAACACAATCATGCAACATTGGAACCAATTGGAATGTTTGCATGATGAACTCTGGGAAAACTTTGAAAATCCACTGATGTCAGGATTCAATCAAGATGAGTATTACCAAATTGAAGATTTGGTACAACAATGTTTGATAGAGTTGTCCATAAAATTGGATCAATTACAACAGAAACAAGCAACAGTAGCAGAACCAAACATGCGGTCCTCACTGCCATTACCAAAGGTAACAATCCCAAGTTTTAATGGGAATTACTTAAAATGGAGGCAATTTTTTGACTTGTTTACACAAATGGTAGACAATCAGCCACTACCAGCTGCTCAAAAAATGTGGTACTTGAAATCACATGTGACAGGTGAAGCTGAAAAATTGATAAGTCATTTCAGATTAACGGAGGACAATTATTCGGCAGCTTGGACATTACTGCAAGACCGTTATAATAATAAAAGGGTCTTGGCGTCCACGTTAATCGATGAACTTCTAAATCAGCCATCAGGCACATCAACTGTGGCAGCAGTTAAAAATTTACATGACACAACGAAAGAGGGTCTATTAGCACTAAACAATCTTGGCGTTCAAACGACATTTTGGGACCCAATTTTGTTACAGGTACTAACTAAAAAACTCGATCGGGCGATGCTCATTAGATATGGGCAATCTCTGGCAAAACCAAAAGAGATACAAAACATTCAGGAATTTTTAGCCTTTTTAGAACTACAGTTCCAACTGATGGAAGTTGTAGAACAAAAAGATAAGGTGGCTATAAACATTAAAGCAAATCGAAATAACTCAGTGTCATCGGCTGTAACAGTTTCTAAAGGAAACAACAATTGCAAACTGTGCAATGTAGACAGGCACCCACTGTATCATTGACGTAAATTCTTGCAATTTTCACCATCTCAATGATTGGATTGGGTGAAAAATCAACAGCTATGTTTTACCTGTTTCAGAAATGATCATGTGGTGAACAAATGTTCATCAAGAAGTTGTACCAAAAGTAATAAAAAGCATAACACGTTGTTACATTTGGAAGTTAACAATCAAACAAAACAAAACATTCAACCAAAGAATCTATAGTACAAAGAAGTGCCACGCTCATACAAACGAAATATCCACTTTATTTTGCTGGTGGATTTATAATAAATCCACCCAACCTCATGCAACAATGTTTGATCGAGTCACAACTGGTATGATGTTCAGTTCAAACCTATATGTGAGTCAAGTAAGGCTGACAAAAGCCCGACTGCATACGTATGCAATCATACATGCAACCCTCTGTATTACATTATACGCATGTTTGTGTGTTTGTTCGCTGTAAAATGTTCAAGCGATCAAACAGCATTTCAGTGACGAAATCAAAATTGTGTACATTTGATAATTTTTTTAATTTAATAGTATAAAACAAAAACAAAATTCCCTGTTTGCTATTGGTATGAATTGTAGTGTAAAAACACATTACAAATTTATTTATGTCTCAAATCTGATTTTTTTCATTCTATGAAGCTTTATTCTTAAATGTTGTCCATGCGCAATGTTTCCAATATCGTAAACACCAATTTTAACATTTTAATCCGGTGTAAATAGCATTCATGCGTTTCCTCAAACCAGGAGGGATTAATAGTGGTTTTAGTGACTTCTACACATTTTTGCATTAAAATTTTTCTTACATTTCTAATATTTTTATTTTTTTTTAAATACTTTTCAAAAACTTTTATATGAATCTTGCAAATATTTTTTAAAATAATTACAAAAAGTCCCCAAAAATTCAAACTACTAAGAAGTAGTTCCATTTGAGGTAAAATATATGCACAAATGTCAAATAAAAACATACATATTAATATACTGCAGACTTAATGTCTCCAATATCACATTTGTACATACATAATAGTTTTTGTAGTGCATCATTTTTTGCAATAAAAAAAGAATATATTCTATTACTCTTTACTCCTATGATATGAGCCTTTTCAGTACAAGAAAATAAAGCAACAAAGTATATCGAAAAATTATTTGAGGGATTTCTTTACCATTCACTTCGTTACTAATCAATGTATACATATTAATAAAATAGACAAATAAAAACAAGAAAGGCAAAAGAAACAGACGTATAAAAACAATTGTGGGTTGCAATGAGTTTGAACTGAACATCATACTAGTTGTGACTCGATCAAACATTGTTGCATGAGGTTGGGTGGATTTATTATAAATCCACCAGCAAAATAAAGTGGGTATTTCGTTTGTATGAGCGTGGCACTTCTTTGTACTATAGATTCTTTGATTCAACCTAGCTCAAGTGGGTACAACACCGCAGTTACCACAGCGACAGCAAACACATCCACAGGTCATCGTGATTATGGTCCCTTGCCAACTGCAAGAGTCAAAATAACTGCATCTAATGGAAATACAAGTGAAGTCCGAGCATTACTAGACTCTGGTTCGCAAGTGAACATAGTCTCTGAGCGTCTTGTCAAAAGGCTCAATATATCAAAAACAAAATCGTTATTGTGCATAGAAGGTATAGGAAAGGTGCAAAAAAATTCAACGCAGCGAGTTAACATCAAATTGCAATCACTTAACTCAAGGTTTACTACAGAAGTCGAAGCGTTTGTGCTTCCAAATATAGTTCCACCTCAACCAAGTTGCAGCTACGATATTTCCAAATGGAAGGTCCCGAACAGCATTCAGTTAGCAGATCCAACATTTTTCCAATAAGGGAAAATTGATATTTTAATCGGTGCGGAGTTCTATTTTAGTCTGTTAAAGAAAGGTAAATTAACGCTTGCTCCTGGGCTTCCAGTCTTGCAAAATTCTACACTTGGCTGGATTGTCAGTGGCAAGGTTGCATCAAATACAGACACATCAAACGTTTTATGTGCAGTTTTTGGCGGTGGGGCGGAGGTATTATTATGGCGAATGGACGAGGTGAATACAACAGAAAGGACATTATCCAAAGAAGAAAAATTATGCGAATCTCATTTTGTGCAGAACGTCCATACAAATAAAGAATGACGTTTTGTGGTAAGGTTGCCGTTTCTGGAAAACTCATTGACGTTAGGGGAATCTCAAGAAACAGCTTGGAGAAGGTTCATCAGTCTTGAACGACGACTAGCAAAAAATGATGTTTTGCGGAAACAATATGTCCAGTTTATGGAAGAGTATGAGCGATTGGGTCACATGACTGAAGTAAACTTGGATTCCATGTTGACTCCAAGATATTTCATTCCTCATCATTGCGTACTAAAACCAGATATTACAACTACTAAACTTCGAGTGGTGTTTGACGCATCAGCCAAAACTACATCTGGACACTCGTTGAATGATTTAATGTATAACGGACCGACAGTTCAAAGTGAACTCTTTTCAATTCTGCTCCGTTTTAGGCGACCACGGTTTGTTTTTACCACAGATATCGAGAAAATGTATCGTCAAGTTTTGATAAATTCTGAAGATCGACGCTATCAACTTATCATTTGGAGAAGCAGTCCAAATTCAACGATTCGTTATTATCAGCTAAACACAATTACATATGGGACTCGAGCAGCTCCTTACCTAGCAACAAGATGTCTGCAAAAGATAGCATCAGAAAACAAGGTGAATTATCGATTGGGAGCTCAAATCCTGTGTGACAATTTCTACGTTGACGATGGGCTCGGTGGATCAGATAGTTTAATTACGGCTATTGAAGCTCAAAGACAACTAATTCATATTTTGAAGAAGCATCATTTTTGTCTTCGGAAATGGAGTGCAAACCATCCTCAACTTTTGAAAAACATTTCTCAAGATGATCAAGAGGTAAATCTAGATTTCGATAATAACGAATCAATCAAAACGCTGGGATTATTTTGGTTGCCCAAGGCGGATTTATTTGGGATTAAGGTCAAAATGGTTACTGAAGGTATAATCACGAAGAGAGTCGTTAGTTCTGATTTAGCTAGACTGTTCGACCCACTTGGTTTATTAGCGCCAGTAATAATCAAAGCAAAGATTTTCATACAACACTTATGGCAGTTGAAATTATCTTGGGATGAACCACTTCCTACAGATCTTCGTACAACATGGTCAACATTTAGAGAAAACTTAAGTACTCTTGAAAATCTTCAGGTGGCAAGACATATCTTCAGAGGCGAAGTTCCATCATCAACACAGCTACATATTTTTGCTGACGCATCTGAAAAGGCATTTGGTGCTGCAGCATATGTCAGAGCAATTTTAAGGAATGGTAGAATAATAGTGCGACTATTATGTGCAAAGTCAAGAGTAGCACCACTCAAAATACAAACGCTACCGCGACTAGAGCTATGTGTGGCAGTCTTAGCAGCGGAACTCTCAGCAAGAGGGAAAAGCGATCTTCAAGAGAAGGACCAGCCGGTATTTTTGTGGACTGATTCAGAAATTGTGTTGTCTTGGATCAACTCACAGTCCTCATCATTTCAAACATTTGTAGCTAACAGGGTGGCAAGAACTCAAACTTCAACTCTGTGTCCGCAGTGGCGACATGTTAGGTCAAAGGACAACCCAGCTGATGTGTTATCCAGAGGACTTTCAGCAAGGGCGTTGTCAACATGTGCACTTTGGTTTCAAGGACCGTTCTTTTTGCATGGAAGGCAGGAAGTATGGCCACCAAGGTTTTCATCATCATTACAAGTTCCAGTCGATCTGGAGAAGAAGAAGGTTGTAGCTGTAGCAACTCAAAGCAATGACGCAGATTTCATATGGAGGATTCAGCACAAGAATTTATTTAAGACGTTACAAAAGATAGTAGCATATGTTCTTAGATTCACTAACAACGCAAGAAAATCAAAGGAGTCACGTGCCACACATATAGTACTTAGTGCCAACGAATTGGATGCAGCATTAATAACTATAATATGTCACAGTCAAGGTACTGATTTTGACCAAGAAATCAAACAACTGAAAAAACAAGGTCATGTTGATAAATCTAGTTCAATCAGTAGTTTATCTCCATTCATTGATAATGCAAATGTTCTTAGAGTAGGAGGACGCTTCGAAGCCTCATCATTACCATACGATTCTAAACACCCAATGCTGATCCCATACAATGATCCATTGGCAAAATTATTATTCGTGATGTTCCATGAAGAAAACAAACACTGTGGCCCGCATGCACTATTGAGTACAGTCCGACAATTATGCCAACAAATTATGGGGGATCTACCAGAATCAAGATTAACTCCTGCAAGACCTTTCATTAATGCTGGTGTAGATTATTGCGGATCATTTTGGATCCACTACAAGGTGAGAGGCAAAAAGCCAACAAAGGCATATATTGCTGTCTTTTGTTGCTTTTCTACAAAGGCGGTACATCTGGAATTAGTGACCGACTTATCAACAAATGCTTTCATTGGAGCATTAGAACGATTTATAAGTCGATGAGGGTGTTGTTTGAATATTTACAGTGATAACGCAACAAACTTCGTAGGCGCCAAAAACCAGTTAGCAGAATTAGAAGAAAGCATTTATTCTAATGAAGGACAAGAAGCAATAATCTCTGCCTGCAGAACCACAGGAATAAATTTTCATTTTATTGCACCAAGGGCTCCACACTTTGGCGGTTTATGGGAAGCATCCGTAAAGTCCGCAAAATATTTGTTACTACGCAGCGTTTCAACAGCATCATTGACGTATGAAGAACTCGAAACAGTAGTGGTGGAAATTGAAGCGATATTAAATTCACGACCATTGACTCCAATGTCCAATGATCCAACTGATTTGACAGCATTAACTCCAGGACACTTATTAATTGGTTAAGCTCTTACAACTCATGTAGACAGCCGATCGAAACCAGGAAAACACACGTTATTGTCACGTTGGAACCTAGTTTCCCAGTTAAAACATAATTTCTGGAAACGCTGGTCTAACGAATATTTGATGGAACTGCAACAACGTAACAAATGGAAAACACAATCTGCCAACAAACAGTTAGGAGACATGGTTATAACAAAGAAGATAACGTCCCAGTGATGCAGTGGCCTTTGGGACGAATTGTACATGAGTACAAGGGTACAGATGGACATATCCGAATAGCTGATGTTAAAACATCGGCAGGCATATTTAAACGCCCAATTCATCGATTAGCTATACTGCCTGTAAATACAGATGATCAACCAACAATGGCTGAAGCTGATCACGAAGTACCTCCTGACAATTTAATTATGAAAAATAGAAAAGAGTCGTATGAAGAGCCCAAGACAAAACGTAGAAAACTGCCAACCAATTTGTACTGTTCTGTATTACTTACACTATTACTGATATTGCCAATAGTAATAGGATCTCCAATTGACAATAAAAGGTTTGGCACAAAATTGGGTATTCACTTTGAAAATCTGGGCACAACTGCCATATCAACCACTGAATGGAATCTATTAGTTTATTACGACTTAAGTCTTTATTGGACGGAAGCAGCAGCTCTAAACACAAGAATAATGTCGCTACATCAAGCTTGTCAACAAATGAAACCAAACGCATCATGTGCGAATACAGTTAATCACTTTAAACATATTGAATCCGAACTACAACTCGATGGTAAATTACTTCATGATCATCTCTTCAAAAGAGGAGCAATTGACCTTGTAGGCAATATTGCACATTCACTGTTTGGAGTATTAGATTCAGAATATGCCAAAGGAATGTCAAATATAATTACAGAAGTGAAACAAAATGAAATACAATTATTGACGCTATTTAAGAATCAGACATCAGTTGTCGATTCAACAATCAACATAATGAAGAAAGATAAAATAGCAGTTCAAGAAGGTTTTGACCACATTGACAATGAAATAAAGGCATTGATAAATTCAATAAAAGATACAAATAGAGAGGTAAATCAATTACGGCTCTATCAAGTTTTCAATGCAGGAGCCATTCAATTAACCCTGGTAGCACATAATCTTCAGAAGATACAATCTGCTATTATAGATGCTCTAACTGATACTCATCATGGAAAAGTGAATCCATTGTTATTGACACCAACACAATTACAAAAGGAAGTTAATCAAATCAAACTTCATTTATCAC